AATCGGGGAGTTTTCCATCACATCTACGACGTATCTGTCTTTGTCAAATGAAGGGGCGTTGTCGTTCACATCAAGCACGCGAATAACGATGCTGGCTGTACCTGTGCGCGTGGGGACCCCACCGTCCACTGCAGTGAGTATTAGGTTATGATAAGCCTGCTGCTCTCTATCTAAAGCTTTCTTCAGAATCAAATCTGCAAACTTTGTCCCGTCTCTCCCGGTCTGAATTTCAATAGTGAAGTGTTCACTTGAGCTCAAATGGTAATTTTTCACAGAATTCGGTCCCACATCTGGGTCTGCAGCATTATTCAAAGAGAATCTCTCTCCAACGGGGCTTGATTCAGAGATGTCCAAGTGCATCGTTCCTCGTCGAAAATGAGGAGCGTTGTCGTTAATATCCGTGATTTCCACCTCAATATTAAACATCCGGACAGGATTTTCAATTGTAGCGTCTAATTTTAAGAAAGCAGTATGACGTTGTCTTTAAGGGGGCATAACAATTCTCTGTCTATCCTTTCCAAAATGAACAGCTCTCCCGTGTCTTTGTTGATGTCAAGATATTTTTTGTTGCCTACAACATCTATGCGCATTTGTCTTTTATTCAGAGTTTTCACGTCTAATCCCAAATCAGTTGCTAAATTAGCAACGACAGATCCTTCCTCCATTTCTTCAGGAACAGAATAATGAGTAACGGTGAATACCGTGTTCATGATGGCAGAAAGAAAGATAAAAACTGAAACGTACCCTCTCCGGGAATACTGACGGATATGATGAGCCATTGAGGAGAATCCGTATTTAAAACCTTGAAATGCGATGTGTGGTTGAGAAAGGAGAAACAGTCCCCTTTATTTAATGATAAAAGCCAGCGAGGGTCTTCATGGAAAACGTTTCTTTATGGTGGTATCAGCAGAGATTTGCGTGCAATATGTCTGCCTGCCCGGGCTCCAATGAACTATCGTGAGAACGATGACTTCATTGGTGAGTCTGTTTTTGTGGAGTGCAGCGACGTGAATAGTCCTTTTTTAGCATTTACACCTCGTACAATCGCGGTTTCTATACAAATATAGATTGTGTGAGAACTTTTAAATTCGGTTATAAGAAAAAGTATAATTAAATATTTTACTTGTTTTTAATAGGATGTGGGAAACAACTAAAAGTTATATATTTTTCCTTGTATTGCTTTTATGACTATGGAAATATACTATTTGAAAAAATTTTTACTGCAGACATGCTACACATTCTATCAGTGCAAATATATGGAGTCATAGCCCTTTGAGTTTGACTTTTACGCGCTAATCTCTGTGCGTAAAACCAGTGTGGTAAAATTTGACCGCGTGTCTAATCTCTAGATTTATGTGTTTTCTAAAAGCCTTCAGTAAATATTTTAGTTGCTTAATTGATGTTGCCATATGCAACACTCACACAGTTGCTTTATGACCTATGTAATATCCAATTTTAACGGTACCTAAATACCCTGTGCAAGAAAAGATGTTTTATGGAAGGGACAAAGATTGCAAATGTCAAGGGATTTATTTAATGTTTATTTTTAAAAAATGGAATCGTGTTAACATTAAAATTATACCTATGTAAACTTTGATTACTAGTATGGATACAGTGTAAATTTTTCTGTACTCATTTATAAAACACTAATAAAATATGAATTTTTAGAGTCTGGATACCAATGGGGAATACATACATCTACATATAGGTCCTGAAAAGGATACAAAGTTGGAAATCTTCAACATTGCAAGGACCAAACAATAGCTGTTACAAATGGCTGTATTTGATGCTTTGGTGGAAGACAAATGAGTTATTTTATGGGAGTAAATGTAGCAATATGACAGTGTAAAAATGCGTTATCAAAAATAAAAGTCCTGTTTCGCATTAGTATTTAAGTAAAAAGTACAATGTTTGGCTCCGAAATGTAATTGAGTAGAAGTATAAAGTAGCGTGAAATGGAAATACTCAACAAAACTTGTACAAATACCTCAAAACTGTACTTGAGAACAATACTTGAGTAAATGTACTTAGATTCCACCTGACGACCATATTCAGAGAATGTTTGTGCATATCATATGTTAAGTTGAGGTTTACCTGCAGAGTGGAAGCTGCTGAGTCGCTAGTGTCTGTCAGTCCTGTGCCTCTCGGTAGACTGGACACGATGTATCTGGAGCCCTTTGGCACAGGCTGTCTAACCACCAGCTTCCCTTTCCTGGTCTCCGCTAGAAACAGACTGTACCAGTAGGCATCGTTGGAGACCAGAGTGGAATCTGCGATGGTGGAGTTCCTCTCACTGATCACACTGTTCCTGCAGGGAGGAGCCGCTTTGCTGGGCTTGGGTTTCTGACACTTGAGCACGATGGTGACCAATATGGTGATGAGCAGGAGAAATGACACCGAGCCCAGACCGATGACCAAATACAGGTTTAGGTCTGAAAAGATGTCGTATTCCAGAGGCACCTCAGTCATGTCAGAGTAGGCCTTCACGGCAGTCTCCACTGTGGACAGCTTGATGGTGACTGTGGCAGACAGAGCAGGCTGCCCGTTGTCTTTGGCAACAACAACCAGTCGCTGGTGGCGCGGGTCTCTGTAACTGAACATCCTCATAGTCCGGATCTCTCCGTTGTACTGGTCCAGACTGAACAAGGTGGCGTCAGTCACCTGTAGGAACTGGTAGGTGATCCGAGAGTTGTGCACCGAGTCGGTGTCTAAGGCTATCACTTTGGCAACCAGAGAGCCTTTATCGGTGGATCTGGGGATCTTTTCCTCCACCACAGAGCCGTGCGCGCGCCACGGAGACACAATAACCGGAGCGTTGTCGTTCTGGTCCACAATAATGATGTGCACGGTCACGTTACTGCTCAGTGGAGGAGAGCCAGAGTCTCTGGCCTCGATGTGGAAAAGAAACTCCTTCTCGATCTCATAGTCAAAAGTTTTTAGTGCGTAAAGGTTCCCGTTCTCTGGATTGATGGAGAACAGCATGGACATGGAGGTGTTGGCTATCTCCTTCTCTAGGATGAAATAAACTAGATACTGGTTTTCATGGAGGTCAGGGTCAAACGCAGAGAGTGAACTCAGCAAGGCCCCAGGTGCGTTATTCTCCGTTACACGTATAGTATAAAATGATTGAGGGAACTGTGGAACATTGTCATTCACATCCAGCAGCTCTAACGTCATAGTTTCATTGTCAGATAAAGGAGGAGAACCTCTGTCTGTAACAGTGAAAGTGATGTCATATTCTGGGACCTTCTCGCGGTCTAACGGCTCTGACACTACTAATTCATAATAGTTATCAGAGGACTCCCTCAGTCTGAAAGGCATGTTATCTGGAATATGCAGATCTACCACTCCGTTGTCACCTGAGTCTTTATCACTGACACTAACTACAGCTATCACTGTGTCTAATTCTATGTTTTCATTGACTGGACTCTGAAATGATTTAATAGATATTTCTGGGTGATTATCATTCATGTCTTCAACCAGAATCTTTATGGTACATTGTCCTGACAAACTATTGGCTCCTTTGTCAGTTGCTATAACTTCCATATCATAAATCCTGAAATCCTCGTAATTTAACATTCCTTTAACATTAATTTCACCAGTGGAAGGATTCAGGTTAATGTTTCTTGTGTTTTCTCTGACGTATATAAACTATATGAGTACGTGATATCAGAATTTGATCCCTCGTCTAAGTCTGTTGCATTAAGATGAATAACAAGGCTCCCTATGGGAGAATTTTCCATTATTTTTAGATTGTAACTCACTTGGTCAAAAGCAGGAGCGTTGTCATTTGTGTCTAAAACACGAACTATAACACTTGCAGTGCCAGAACGTGCAGGTGTGCCTCCATCTACAGCTGTGAGTATTAAATTATGAACAGCTTGCTGCTCTCGATCTAATTTCTTTGTTAAGATTAATTCGGCAAACTTCGACCCATCTCTCCCGGTCTGAACTTCAATATTAAAATGTTCACTTTCACTCAGATGGTATGTTTTCACTGAATTGCTTCCAACATCAGGATCAACTGCATTGCTGAGAGAGAATCTCTCCCCTTTTGGCGTCGCTTCAGATATATCTAAATGTATGACGTCTCTTCGAAACTGTGGGGCGTTGTCGTTCATGTCCAGAATTTCTAGTTCTATGTTAAAAATTCTCAGAGGATTTTCTAGTATTACTTCCAGTCTAAGATAGCAAGACGCTGACGACTTGGTATTGCATATGTATTCCCTGTCTATCTTCTCAACAATGTACAGTTCACCCGTCTCTTTGTTCACATCCAGATATTTCTTATTTGCAATGATGTCGAGACGCATCTTCCTCTGATTCAGTGTTTTAACGTCCAAACTGAGATCTGTAGCAAGGTTTGCCACAACTGATCCTTCTTTCATTTCCTCTGGTATTGAATAATGAGTCACTGAAGTCGAGATGTGATGAACTAAGGAAAAAAGAACAACGAGCAGCACGTACCTTTTGCAAAACTGCATTGTTACAGAGGACCCCATTGTTGTGTGTTGGGCTACCGCACTTCAGTCGATATAATGTGCATTTGCAGCTATTTTGAATTTCGGTGTAATGTCCATGATCCTTAATATATTAACGCAATTAAATTCCGAGGATATTTCCGCGTTAAAACAACACGAGAGCGTTTTCGGGTGCAGTTTCAGCCCCACGGAGCTGTCCGGTTGTTTCACGGTCTGGCCTAATGACATCGATTCACTGTCATGGCGTTCACTGGCTGGCATTTTACTAACAAAACAGCGCCACCCTTTAGGTTTTTCAAGACACTTTAAATTCATTTAATGGGTTGCACTTTGAAATTAGTTTATCAGTACCAATATTACTTTAAATGTGTTATTGCAGACAACAATAATCACATTTATTTATACTATGTATGAGCTGATCTTTGGAAGACGAATCACCGCAGATAAAGTAAAAATGAAATGTCACTCATTTTTCATAAATGATGACTATAAAACGAAATGTGTACGTTGGACTCTTACCTGCAGAGTGGAAGCAGCTGAGTCGCTAGTGTCTGTCAGTCCTGTGCCTCTCGGTAGACTGGACACGATGTATCTGGAGCCCTTTGGCACAGGCTGTCTAACCACCAGCTTCCCTTTCCTGGTCTCCGCTAGAAACAGACTGTACCAGTAGGCATCGTTGGAGACCAGAGTGGAATCTGCGATGGTGGAGTTCCTCTCACTGATCACACTGTTCCTGCAGGGAGGAGCCGCTTTGCTGGGCTTGGGTTTCTGACACTTGAGCACGATGGTGACCAATATGGTGATGAGCAGGAGAAATGACACCGAGCCCAGACCGATGACCAAATACAGGTTTAGGTCTGAAAAGATGTCGTATTCCAGAGGCACCTCAGTCATGTCAGAGTAGGCCTTCACGGCAGTCTCCACTGTGGACAGCTTGATGGTGACTGTGGCAGACAGAGCAGGCTGCCCGTTGTCTTTGGCAACAACAACCAGTCGCTGGTGGCGCGGGTCTCTGTAACTGAACATCCTCATAGTCCGGATCTCTCCGTTGTACTGGTCCAGACTGAACAAGGTGGCGTCAGTCACCTGTAGGAACTGGTAGGTGATCCGAGAGTTGTGCACCGAGTCGGTGTCTAAGGCTATCACTTTGGCAACCAGAGAGCCTTTATCGGTGGATCTGGGGATCTTTTCCTCCACCACAGAGCCGTGCGCGCGCCACGGAGACACAATAACCGGAGCGTTGTCGTTCTGGTCCACAATAATGATGTGCACGGTCACGTTACTGCTCAGTGGAGGAGAGCCAGAGTCTCTGGCCTCGATGTGGAAAAGAAACTCCTTCTCGATCTCATAGTCAAAAGTTTTTAGTGCGTAAAGGTTCCCGTTCTCTGGATTGATGGAGAACAGCATGGACATGGAGGTGTTGGCTATCTCCTTCTCTAGGATGAAATAAACTAGATACTGGTTTTCATGGAGGTCAGGGTCAAACGCAGAGAGTGAACTCAGCAAGGCCCCAGGTGCGTTATTCTCCGTTACACGTATAGTATAAAATGATTGAGGGAACTGTGGAACATTGTCATTCACATCCAGCAGCTCTAACGTCATAGTTTCATTGTCAGATAAAGGAGGAGAACCTCTGTCTGTAACAGTGAAAGTGATGTCATATTCTGGGACCTTCTCGCGGTCTAACGGCTCTGACACTACTAATTCATAATAGTTATCAGAGGACTCCCTCAGTCTGAAAGGCATGTTATCTGGAATATGCAGATCTACCACTCCGTTGTCACCTGAGTCTTTATCACTGACACTAACTACAGCTATCACTGTGTCTAATTCTATGTTTTCATTGACTGGACTCTGAAATGATTTAATAGATATTTCTGGGTGATTATCATTCATGTCTTCAACCAGAATCTTTATGGTACATTGTCCTGACAAACTATTGGTTCCTTTGTCGGTTGCTATAACTTCCATATCATAAATCCTGAAATCCTCATAATTTAACATTCCTTTAACATTAATTTCACCAGTGGAAGGATTCAGGTTGAATGTTTCTTGTGTTTTCTCTGACGTATATAAACTATATGAGTACGTGATATCAGAATTTGAACCCTCGTCTAAGTCTGTTGCATTAAGATGAATAACAAGGCTCCCTATGGGAGAATTTTCCATTATTTTTAGATTGTAACTCACTTGGTCAAAAGCAGGAGCGTTGTCATTTGTGTCTAAAACACGAACTATAACACTTGCAGTGCCAGAACGTGCAGGTGTGCCTCCATCTACAGCTGTGAGTATTAAATTATGAACAGCTTGCTGCTCTCGATCTAAATTCTTTGTTAAGATTAATTCGGCAAACTTCGACCCATCTCTCCCGGTCTGAACTTCAATATTAAAATGTGCACTTTCACTCAGATGATATGTTTTCACTGAATTGCTTCCAACATCAGGATCAACTGCATTGCTGAGAGAGAATCTCTCCCCTTTTGGCGTCGCTTCGGAAATATCTAAATGTATGACGTCTCTTCGAAACTGTGGGGCGTTGTCGTTCATATCCAGAATTTCTAGTTCTATATTAAATATTCGTACTGGATTTTCTAGTATTACTTCCAGTTTGAGATAGCAAGATGCTTTTGTGATGCAAATATATTCCCTGTCTATCTTCTCAACAATGTACAGTTCACCCGTCTCTTTGTTCACATCCAGATATTTCTTATTTGCAATGATGTCGAGACGCATCTTCCTCTGATTCAGTGTTTTAACATCCATGCTGAGATCGGTAGCAAGGTTTGCTACCACTGATCCTTCTTTCATCTCCTCAGGAATAGAGTAATGACTTACTGATGTCGATACGTAATGAACTGAAGAAATAAAAATAACGATCGACACGTACCTTTTGCATGACTGCATTGTTACAGAGGATCCCGTTGTCGTGGGCGGGTTCACCGTTCGAGGTATGTTATCCGATTTAATGCATGTTTCCTCTAATGTGGAAATGTGCTGTAAAGACCTCGATCAAATTATTTTCGTGCGATTTTAAAATCCAAAAAGATGTAGTCGCTATTAAGAGCTAAATACTGCTTCTTGAGACAGGTAAGGGTTTCAGCATCACGGAGCTGTCCGTTTGTTTCAGTGTCTTTTTCACTAAGATTCACTGTCATGGTGTACATGACCTGGGGTTTTTTTGGAGTAAACAGCGCCACTCCGTGCATTTAACCAATTGTTACAGTTATGGTAAGTAAAATTATTTATGTAGGCTAGAACTCAAAAATTAGTTTGAGATTGGACACCGCTGCAGACGTTGCAGCAAATAACACCGTTTATCAGTTTGTTTAACTAAATGACAAAACTTTACCATAAACATTTTACACAGGAAAATTAAATTGAATGATCTGAGAAATACAGAAACACGTGTATGGCCTACATTGGACTCTCACCTGTAGGGTGGAAGCAGCTGAGTCGCTAGTGTCTGTCAGTCCTGTGCCTCTCGGTAGACTGGACACGATGTATCTGGAGCCCTTTGGCACAGGCTGTCTAACCACCAGCTTCCCTTTCCTGGTCTCCGCTAGAAACAGACTGTACCAGTAGGCATCGTTGGAGACCAGAGTGGAATCTGCGATGGTGGAGTTCCTCTCACTGATCACACTGTTCCTGCAGGGAGGAGCCGCTTTGCTGGGCTTGGGTTTCTGACACTTGAGCACGATGGTGACCAATATGGTGATGAGCAGGAGAAATGACACCGAGCCCAGACCGATGACCAAATACAGGTTTAGGTCTGAAAAGATGTCGTATTCCAGAGGCACCTCAGTCATGTCAGAGTAGGCCTTCACGGCAGTCTCCACTGTGGACAGCTTGATGGTGACTGTGGCAGACAGAGCAGGCTGCCCGTTGTCTTTGGCAACAACAACCAGTCGCTGGTGGCGCGGGTCTCTGTAACTGAACATCCTCATAGTCCGGATCTCTCCGTTGTACTGGTCCAGACTGAACAAGGTGGCGTCAGTCACCTGTAGGAACTGGTAGGTGATCCGAGAGTTGTGCACCGAGTCGGTGTCTAAGGCTATCACTTTGGCAACCAGAGAGCCTTTATCGGTGGATCTGGGGATCTTTTCCTCCACCACAGAGCCGTGCGCGCGCCACGGAGACACAATAACCGGAGCGTTGTCGTTCTGGTCCACAATAATGATGTGCACGGTCACGTTACTGCTCAGTGGAGGAGAGCCAGAGTCTCTGGCCTCGATGTGGAAAAGAAACTCCTTCTCGATCTCATAGTCAAAAGTTTTTAGTGCGTAAAGGTTCCCGTTCTCTGGATTGATGGAGAACAGCATGGACATGGAGGTGTTGGCTATCTCCTTCTCTAGGATGAAATAAACTAGATACTGGTTTTCATGGAGGTCAGGGTCAAACGCAGAGAGTGAACTCAGCAAGGCCCCAGGTGCGTTATTCTCCGTTACACGTATAGTATAAAATGATTGAGGGAACTGTGGAACATTGTCATTCACATCCAGCAGCTCTAACGTCATAGTTTCATTGTCAGATAAAGGAGGAGAACCTCTGTCTGTAACAGTGAAAGTGATGTCATATTCTGGGACCTTCTCGCGGTCTAACGGCTCTGACACTACTAATTCATAATAGTTATCAGAGGACTCCCTCAGTCTGAAAGGCATGTTATCTGGAATATGCAGATCTACCACTCCGTTGTCACCTGAGTCTTTATCACTGACACTAACTACAGCTATCACTGTGTCTAATTCTACGTTTTCATTAACTGGACTCTGAAATGATTTAATAGATATTTCTGGGTGATTATCATTCATGTCTTCAACCAGAATCTTTATGGTACATTGTCCTGACAAACTATTGGCTCCTTTGTCGGTTGCTATAACTTCCATATCATAAATCCTGAAATCCTCATAATTTAACATTCCTTTAACATTAATTTCACCAGTGGAAGGATTCAGGTTGAATGTTTCTTGTGTTTTCTCTGACGTATATAAACTATATGAGTACGTGATATCAGAATTTGATCCCTCGTCTAAGTCTGTTGCATTAAGATGAATAACAAGGCTCCCTATGGGAGAATTTTCCATTATTTTTAGATTGTAACTCCCTTGGTCAAAAGCAGGAGCGTTGTCATTTGTGTCTGAAACATGAACTATAACACTTGCAGTGCCAGAACGTGCAGGTGTGCCTCCATCTACAGCTGTGAGTATTAAATTATGAACAGCTTGCTGCTCTCGATCTAAATTTTTTGTTAAGATTAATTCGGCAAACTTCGACCCTTCTCTTCCGGTCTGAATTTCAATATTAAAATGTTCACTTTCACTTAGATGGTATGTTTTCACTGAATTGCTTCCAACATCAGGATCAACTGCATTGCTGAGAGAGAATCTCTCCCCTTTCGGCGTCGCTTCAGATATATCTAAATGTATGGCGTCTCGTCGAAACTGTGGGGCGTTGTCGTTCATGTCCAGAATTTCTACTTCTATATTAAATATTCGTAATGGGTTTTCAAGTATTACTTCCAGTCTGAGATAACAAGACGACTTTGCAGGACAAATATTTTCCCTGTCTATCTTCTCAACAATGTACAGTTCACCCGTCTCTTTGTTCACATCCAGATATTTCTTATTTGCAATGATGTCGAGACGCATCTTCCTCTGATTCAGTGTTTTAACGTCCAAACTGAGATCTGTAGCAAGGTTTGCCACAACTGATCCTTCTTTCATTTCCTCTGGTATTGAATAATGAGTCACTGAAGTCGAGATGTGATGAACGAAGGAAAAAAGAACAACGAGCAGCACGTACCTTTTACAAGACTGCATTGTTACAGAAGAGCTCGTTGTTGTGTGTTGGTTCATCACAGTTCAGCCAGTACAATGTACATTTCCCTTGTTTTTCAAAATGTTATTTATGGTCCTGTACTGAAGCATATTTGAATTATTTTAATCCCGAGTTTATCGGTGGATAAACTGAGCAATCGCGTTTTCGTCGTTGCTTTTCAACACCACGGAGCTGTCCGGTTTCTTCGATCTGCACTAATGACAACGATTCACTGTCATGGCGTTCATTGACTGTAGTCTGTTGCGGAAACAGCGCCACCTTTTGTATTTTGTAACTCTCGTTGTTTAACATGAACCTTTTTAAAATGGATTTTTACGAGTAAATGTGGATTTATTGTCGCTTATTCTTTTTGAAAATATTGCTGAAAAGAATCATTACACTGATAAATATTTTAAATCTAAAAATGTCTTAGAATGGAAATACAATATCGCTAAATATTGATAAATGATAAATCTAAAAACAAATATGTACATTGGACTCTCACCTGCAGGGTAGACGCAGCTGAGTCGCTAGTGTCTGTCAGTCCTGTGCCTCTCGGTAGACTGGACACGATGTATCTGGAGCCCTTTGGCACAGGCTGTCTAACCACCAGCTTCCCTTTCCTGGTCTCCGCTAGAAACAGACTGTACCAGTAGGCATCGTTGGAGACCAGAGTGGAATCTGCGATGGTGGAGTTCCTCTCACTGATCACACTGTTCCTGCAGGGAGGAGCCGCTTTGCTGGGCTTGGGTTTCTGACACTTGAGCACGATGGTGACCAATATGGTGATGAGCAGGAGAAATGACACCGAGCCCAGACCGATGACCAAATACAGGTTTAGGTCTGAAAAGATGTCGTATTCCAGAGGCACCTCAGTCATGTCAGAGTAGGCCTTCACGGCAGTCTCCACTGTGGACAGCTTGATGGTGACTGTGGCAGACAGAGCAGGCTGCCCGTTGTCTTTGGCAACAACAACCAGTCGCTGGTGGCGCGGGTCTCTGTAACTGAACATCCTCATAGTCCGGATCTCTCCGTTGTACTGGTCCAGACTGAACAAGGTGGCGTCAGTCACCTGTAGGAACTGGTAGGTGATCCGAGAGTTGTGCACCGAGTCGGTGTCTAAGGCTATCACTTTGGCAACCAGAGAGCCTTTATCGGTGGATCTGGGGATCTTTTCCTCCACCACAGAGCCGTGCGCGCGCCACGGAGACACAATAACCGGAGCGTTGTCGTTCTGGTCCACAATAATGATGTGCACGGTCACGTTACTGCTCAGTGGAGGAGAGCCAGAGTCTCTGGCCTCGATGTGGAAAAGAAACTCCTTCTCGATCTCATAGTCAAAAGTTTTTAGTGCGTAAAGGTTCCCGTTCTCTGGATTGATGGAGAACAGCATGGACATGGAGGTGTTGGCTATCTCCTTCTCTAGGATGAAATAAACTAGATACTGGTTTTCATGGAGGTCAGGGTCAAACGCAGAGAGTGAACTCAGCAAGGCCCCAGGTGCGTTATTCTCCGTTACACGTATAGTATAAAATGATTGAGGGAACTGTGGAACATTGTCATTCACATCCAGCAGCTCTAACGTCATAGTTTCATTGTCAGATAAAGGAGGAGAACCTCTGTCTGTAACAGTGAAAGTGATGTCATATTCTGGGACCTTCTCGCGGTCTAACGGCTCTGACACTACTAATTCATAATAGTTATCAGAGGACTCCCTCAGTCTGAAAGGCATGTTATCTGGAATATGCAGATCTACCACTCCGTTGTCACCTGAGTCTTTATCACTGACACTAACTACAGCTATCACTGTGTCTAATTCTACGTTTTCATTAACTGGACTCTGAAATGATTTAATAGATATTTCTGGGTGATTATCATTCATGTCTTCAACCAGAATCTTTATGGTACATTGTCCTGACAAACTATTGGCTCCTTTGTCGGTTGCTATAACTTCCATATCATAAATCCTGAAATCCTCATAATTTAACATTCCTTTAACATTAATTTCACCAGTGGAAGGATTCAGGTTGAATGTTTCTTGTGTTTTCTCTGACGTATATAAACTATATGAGTACGTGATATCAGAGTTCAATCCTTCATCTAAGTCTGTTGCATTAAGATGAATAACAAGGCTCCCTATGGGAGAATTTTCCATTATTTTAACAGTGTAAATTGACTTGTCAAATATGGGTGCATTATCATTTGTGTCTGAAACATGAACTATAACACTTGCGGTACCAGAACGTGCAGGTGTGCCTCCATCTACAGCTGTGAGTATTAAATTATGAACAGCTTGCTGCTCTCGATCTAAATTCTTTTTCAAGATCAAATCGGCAAACTTCGACCCATCTCTCCCGGTCTGAACTTCAATATTAAAATGTTCATTTTCACTCAGATGGTATGTTTTCACTGAATTGCTTCCAACATCAGGATCAACAGCGTTGCTCAATGAAAATCTTTCTCCTGCAGGCGTTGACTCAGATATGTCCAAATGTATGGCGTCTCTTCGAAATTGTGGGGCGTTGTCATTAATATCCAAAATTTCTAGTTCTATGTTAAATATTCGTAAAGGATTTTCAAGTATTACTTCCATTTTCAAGTAGCACAATGTCAGCGTTTTTGTACAAAGATTTTCCCTGTCAATCTTCTCAACAACATAAAGCTCACCAGTCTCTTTGTTCACATCCAAATATTTTTTGTTGGCGATAAGGTCAAGGCGCATCTTCCTCTGATTCAGAGTTTTAACTTCCAGGCTTAGATCGGTAGCAAGGTTTGCAACAACTGATCCTTCTTTCATTTCTTCCGGTATTGAATAATGGGTCACTGAGGCCGTTAAATGATGAACGTAACAAAAGAGAACAACATGCGCCACGTACCTTTGTGACTGCATTATTACAACGGACCGCATTGTGGTTCTTCTATTCGCCGATTGTAGCACATTAGTCGATATAAGGAATATATAAACTGATTTACAGCTTCGCCATTAAGAACTCCGTTCAACCCTATTGATGAAAATTTAAATCCGTGAATATTTTGATGCTTAAAACAGCGGAGTATCCTTCTCGCCTTTAACGCACGGTTCAGCACCACGGAGTTGCCCGGACGTTTGGAGCTTTACAATGGTTCCCTGTCATGGCGACCTTGAGTAAGTATTTATCGAGTGAACAGCGCCGCTTGTTGTAAATTGCACGATATTGTACTTAAAATAAGAAAGCTTAGAAAGCCAAGCATGTTTTAAAGTTTAATGGTAAGCACAAAATGAGTGACTGCTGCAAATATCGTTCAAAGGAATTATATTGTCAAAGTTTTTCCTCAACCTTCTTTAAATTACGTTATATTTTTAAATAGGCTACTGTGGATAGATAAATGACAAGTTAAATGGTAATAAACATTAGAATGTAGAGGAGAATTTTTAACTTTGGTCATATCCTACCTGCAGAGTGGAAGCAGCTGAGTCGCTAGTGTCTGTCAGTCCTGTGCCTCTCGGTAGACTGGACACGATGTATCTGGAGCCCTTTGGCACAGGCTGTCTAACCACCAGCTTCCCTTTCCTGGTCTCTGCTAGAAACAGACTGTACCAGTAGGCATCGTTGGAGACCAGAGTGGAATCTGCGATGGTGGAGTTCCTCTCACTGATCACACTGTTCCTGCAGGGAGGAGCCGCTTTGCTGGGCTTGGGTTTCTGACACTTGAGCACGATGGTGACCAATATGGTGATGAGCAGGAGAAATGACACCGAGCCCAGACCGATGACCAAATACAGGTTTAGGTCTGAAAAGATGTCGTATTCCAGAGGCACCTCAGTCATGTCAGAGTAGGCCTTCACGGCAGTCTCCACTGTGGACAGCTTGATGGTGACTGTGGCAGACAGAGCAGGCTGCCCGTTGTCTTTGGCAACAACAACCAGTCGCTGGTGGCGCGGGTCTCTGTAACTGAACATCCTCATAGTCCGGATCTCTCCGTTGTACTGGTCCAGACTGAACAAGGTGGCGTCAGTCACCTGTAGGAACTGGTAGGTGATCCGAGAGTTGTGCACCGAGTCGGTGTCTAAGGCTATCACTTTGGCAACCAGAGAGCCTTTATCGGTGGATCTGGGGATCTTTTCCTCCACCACAGAGCCGTGCGCGCGCCACGGAGACACAATAACCGGAGCGTTGTCGTTCTGGTCCACAATAATGATGTGCACGGTCACGTTACTGCTCAGTGGAGGAGAGCCAGAGTCTCTGGCCTCGATGTGGAAAAGAAACTCCTTCTCGATCTCATAGTCAAAAGTTTTTAGTGCGTAAAGGTTCCCGTTCTCTGGATTGATGGAGAACAGCATGGACATGGAGGTGTTGGCTATCTCCTTCTCTAGGATGAAATAAACTAGATACTGGTTTTCATGGAGGTCAGGGTCAAACGCAGAGAGTGAACTCAGCAAGGCCCCAGGTGCGTTATTCTCCGTTACACGTATAGTATAAAATGATTGAGGGAACTGTGGAACATTGTCATTCACATCCAGCAGCTCTAACGTCATAGTTTCATTGTCAGATAAAGGAGGAGAACCTCTGTCTGTAACAGTGAAAGTGATGTCATATTCTGGGACCTTCTCGCGGTCTAACGGCTCTGACACTACTAATTCATAATAGTTATCAGAGGACTCCCTCAGTCTGAAAGGCATGTTATCTGGAATATGCAGATCTACCACTCCGTTGTCACCTGAGTCTTTATCACTGACACTAACTACAGCTATCACTGTGTCTAATTCTACGTTTTCATTAACTGGACTCTGAAATGATTTAATAGATATTTCTGGGTGATTATCATTCATGTCTTCAACCAGAATCTTTATGGTACATTGTCCTGACAAACTATTGGCTCCTTTGTCGGTTGCTATAACTTCCATATCATAAATCCTGAAATCCTCATAATTTAACATTCCTTTAACATTAATTTCACCAGTGGAAGGATTCAGGTTGAATGTTTCTTGTGTTTTCTCTGACGTATATAAACTATATGAGTACGTGATATCAGAATTTGAACCCTCGTCTAAGTCTGTTGCATTAAGATGAATAACAAGGCTCCCTATGGGAGAATTTTCCATTATTTTTAGATTGTAACTCACTTGGTCAAAAGCAGGAGCGTTGTCATTTGTGTCTAAAACACGAACTATAACACTTGCAGTGCCAGAACGTGCAGGTGTGCCTCCATCTACAGCTGTGAGTATTAAATTATGAACAGCTTGCTGCTCTCGATCTAAATTCTTTGTTAAGATTAATTCGGCAAACTTCGACCCATCTCTCCCGGTCTGAACTTCAATATTAAAATGTGCACTTTCACTCAGATGATATGTTTTCACTGAATTGCTTCCAACATCAGGATCAACTGCATTGCTGAGAGAGAATCTCTCCCCTTTTGGCGTCGCTTCGGAAATATCTAAATGTATGACGTCTCTTCGAAACTGTGGGGCGTTGTCGTTCATATCCATTATTTCTAGTTCTATATTAAAAATTCGTACTGGATTTTCTAGTATTACTTCCATTTTCAAGTAACACAATGTCAGCATTTTTGTACAAATATATTCCCTGTCTATCTTCTCAACAATGTACAGTTCACCCGTCTCTTTGTTCACATCCAGATATTTCTTATTTGCAATGATGTCGAGACGCATCTTCCTCTGATTCAGTGTTTTAACATCCAAACTGAGATCGGTAGCAAGGTTTGCTACAACTGATCCTTCTTTCATTTCCTCTGGTATTGAATAATGGGTCACTGAAGTCGATATGTGATGAACGAAGGAAAGAAGAACAACGAGCAGCACGTACCTTTTACAAGACTGCATTGTTACAGAAGGGCTCGTTGTTGTGTGCGGGAACACTGCACTTCAAACGATATAATGTGCATTTCCAGCAATGTTGAATTTTGGTGTAATGTCCTTGATCTCAAACATATTCAACAAATTACATTCTGAGGATATTTCGACATTATAACAGGACGAGAGCGTTTTCGGAGTGCAGTTTCAGCACCACGGAGCTGTCCGGTTGTTTCACGATCTGCCCATATGACATCGATTCACTGTCATGGCGTTCACTGGCTGGCATTTTACTAACAAAACAGCGCCACCCTTTAGGTTTTTCAAGACACTTTAAATTCATTTAACGGTTGCACTTTGAAATTAGTTTATCAGTACCAATATGACTTTAAATGTGTTATTGCAGACAACAATAATCACATTTATTTATACTATGTATGAGCTGATCTTTGGAAGTCGAATGACCGCAGATAATGTAAAAATGAAATGTCACTCAATTTTGATAAAGGATGAATATAAAACGAAATGTGTACGTTGGACTCTTACCTGCAGAGTGGAAGCAGCTGAGTCGCTAGTGTCTGTCAGTCCTGTGCCTCTCGGTAGACTGGACACGATGTATCTGGAGCCCTTTGGCACAGGCTGTCTAACCACCAGCTTCCCTTTCCTGGTCTCCGCTAGAAACAGACTGTACCAGTAGGCATCGTTGGAGACCAGAGTGGAATCTGCGATGGTGGAGTTCCTCTCACTGATCACACTGTTCCTGCAGGGAGGAGCCGCTTTGCTGGGCTTGGGTTTCTGACACTTGAGCACGATGGTGACCAATATGGTGATGAGCAGGAGAAATGACACCGAGCCCAGACCGATGACCAAATACAGGTTTAGGTCTGAAAAGATGTCGTATTCCAGAGGCACCTCAGTCATGTCAGAGTAGGCCTTCACGGCAGTCTCCACTGTGGACAGCTTGATGGTGACTGTGGCAGACAGAGCAGGCTGCCCGTTGTCTTTGGCAACAACAACCAGTCGCTGGTGGCGCGGGTCTCTGTAACTGAACATCCTCATAGTCCGGATCTCTCCGTTGTACTGGTCCAGACTGAACAAGGTGGCGTCAGTCACCTGTAGGAACTGGTAGGTGATCCGAGAGTTGTGCACCGAGTCGGTGTCTAAGGCTATCACTTTGGCAACCAGAGAGCCTTTATCGGTGGATCTGGGGATCTTTTCCTCCACCACAGAGCCGTGCGCGCGCCACGGAGACACAATAACCGGAGCGTTGTCGTTCTGGTCCACAATAATGATGTGCACGGTCACGTTACTGCTCAGTGGAGGAGAGCCAGAGTCTCTGGCCTCGATGTGGAAAAGAAACTCCTTCTCGATCTCATAGTCAAAAGTTTTTAGTGCGTAAAGGTTCCCGTTCTCTGGATTGATGGAGAACAGCATGGACATGGAGGTGTTGGCTATCTCCTTCTCTAGGATGAAATAAACTAGATACTGGTTTTCATGGAGGTCAGGGTCAAACGCAGAGAGTGAACTCAACAAGTCCCCAGGTGCGTTATTCTCCGTTACACGTATAGTATAAAATGACTGAGGGAACTTTGGCGCGTTGTCATTTACGTCCAATAGATGAAGAGTTATTGTTTCGTTATCAGATAAAGGCGGTGTTCCTGCATCAGTCACAATCAGTATGATGTCATATTCAGGTATTGATTCACGATCTAATGGCTCAGACACCATGAGCTTGTAATGCATGGGTCTTTCTGATGACTTGTTAAGAATAAAGGGTAGGTCCTGATTTATGGATAAGCTTACTTTTCCATTGTCGCCAGTATCTCTGTCATTTATTCCTACCAGAGCAATGACACTTCCCACTGGGATGTTCTCATTAACTGTGTTTTTAACAGACTGTATGGTAATTTCTGGATAATTGTCATTCATATCCTTCACATGGAGGACTACTTTACACTGTCCCTGCAAGGGATGCGTCCCTTTGTCTCTGGCCTCAATGTGCATCTCATAAAATTTCATATCTTCGTAGTCAATTGTACCCTTCACAGTTATCTCCCCTGTGGTAGGATTTAATGCAAATACATCTTGTGTTTTTTCTGACGTGTAAAGGGTGAATGAGTACTGTATCTCTGAATTCAGACCCTCGTCACGATCTGTAGCGTTAAGCTTCATCACTAAGGTACCGATCGGGGAATTTTCTGTCATGTTAACTGTGTAAGTCTGCTTGTCAAACCGCGGAGGATTATCGTTTGAATCCTGCACTCTAACGATAATATTGGCAGTTCCGGAGCGCACAGGGACCCCGCCGTCCACAGCAGTCAGTATTAAATTATGAACAGCATTTTCCTCTCTGTCTAAAGACTTGGTCAACACCAAATCAACATATTGAGTTCCATCACTGCCCGTCTGAATTTCGATGGTGAAATGTTCATCGACACTGAGTTGGTATGTTTTAATTGTATTTATGCCAACATCTGGATCCACAGCATTAGGCAGGGAGAATCTCTCTCCGGGTGTTGCCGATTCTGAAACGTCGAGCTCTACTCTGTCTCGTCGAAAGTGTGGAGCGTTATCATTTATGTCCGTTATTCCAAGTTCAATGTTGAAGATGCGTAAGGGGCTTTCTATGATAACATCAAGCTTTAGAAAACAGGAGGTTGTTTTCGTGGGACAAAGAGATTCCCTGTCCATCTTTTCCACGATATACAACTCACCTGTTTTTTTATTGACATCTAGATATTTTTTGTTATGGAAAATATCAAGTTTTACCTCTCGTTGTGCCAAACCTCCAGGCTCAAGTCCCAAATCCGCAGCGAGATTAGCCACAACAGAACCCCTTTCCATCTCTTCTGCTATAGAGTACCGCGTCACAGACAATGCGCAGGGCCATACTGCACACAAGACAAAGACAGTGGCCAAAAAATTCATCCTTTCATCTGCAGGGAACAATACTCCAGATACTTGTTTGTGTTGATATTTGAGATCTGACTAAATATTTTAGGACATGTTTTTGGGTCCTGTTGTTAATTTAAAATTAAAAGCATATCTTCCAGAAAGCTGTGTCCTACACCCTTTATAAATGGGTGTGTCGTGACTTCCAGGAGAGAGAGTCATCATGCTTTAGTGGTCAACAGTGACACCATGTGACAGAGAGGGTGCACAGTGCAGTAACTGTTTCAGAATTAGTTTTGTGTGGTTTCACATGAGACAGTCACTAACGTCTGGCCCAGAGCAAAGGGCTGCATGATCATTTACACAGTCTGTGCATCTATGTTTTGGGGAACAAAAGGTCCTTGACTGAAGGAGAAGAACAGCTAGTGAGGAAAACAATCAACAACCCCACACATGTGGACAGACTGGAATAAGAAGAACAATAATAAAGATGGAACAGGTTAAAGATTTAAAACAATATATAAGACATAATAAAAGGAGAAAAATAGTACTCTTATAAGTACTTGCATGAAAGATGATAAGTGTAAGAAGAAAACAATTTTCTGCCCTTACAACTGACATTTAGCAGAATTCACACATGTATTTTTTTAATGTTTGTGGAAGAGATCCCCTGTGTTTTCGGACAAAGATGTTCAGTTTTCCCACAATAACATATTCAGTTTAAAGCCATGCTAAAACTGATTCCTCTATGGCAAAACGCCATCTGCTTCCTAATCTCAAGGCTTTTTACATAAATTAGCCATATTTGCTTGTATTATGGTGAATAGATTCATGTCACAAAACTAAGACAGCAATCAAAAGTACAAACACATTTGTGTGCAAAATTATAAAGAATATCTGTCATTTATGACAAACACTCTCTGGTCCCATTTTCACTAAAGGTAATATTATAGGCAAGTCTCTGTGGAAAGAATATTTTTACCAGGATAGCATCATGCCTTTGTGTATGGCATATGGCAGATAAGCCATGTGTGTTAGAGGAAACTCACTTCCTGAGGACAGAGGCATCTAAGGATGTGATGCATGTAAAATGATTATACAGTGTTGTTCACTTTTCATATTTAAATGTAGTGAGAATTGGAGGTGCAAGGAATATATTTTACTTTGTTTTTCAGCTAAGAGAGAGAGAGAGAGAAAGGGAGACAGAGGTATATATATTAACAGTATATACATATATGTATATATTTATATTTGCTATGCTCATGCACTGTATTTTATCATGTTGACATGGATTGCATAATATGCTGCTATATTTCATTTACGTGATGTGAGTGATCCAACAGAAATTAAGTTGCTTTATCCACTTACATTTAGTCTGCTACAACTACATTCTTCACATCTCATTGCACAGATTTGTCTTTTTAAATACCCTCATGCTCGTCTTTACTCTCTCAAAATAATATTTATCTAAGCCTCAGTTTGTTCAGTATGCAAGGGGTTTCCCCAAAAGTAGAATGAAGTCAAATTGTATTACCATCTTCATCTGCTATGTAATGTGATTGACTGTTCCTGATTATTTTATATTAAATTTTTTTTAAACAATTAGAAACTCTAGAAATAATTAACATGAGGTTTGACTATTTACTACAACATGACTTGACCAAAACCAAGCTGTCATTTTAAAAAAAGACAGAAGCATCATGTACACCAGGCGGACAAGGCAGTGAATGTCCATGTACATTTACACTTAATGAGCCCCACGCACATTTTCTCTTTTAAATGAAGGCCTATAGGGTGATGATTTTGTCAACATCTTGTTGCTGTAAACCCATATAAGTTCAGAATACTCAAAATATTTGTGGAAACTGATTACCTCAAACTTAAATATAATGCAGTTTTTAAAAACTTTTAATTTGTGCATAGTAAATTACAAAGATTCACTATGGCTTATTAAAATTAAAACAAAAAAAACAAATCTTGTACTCAATAAATGTAATTGTGCACAACATATACTCTGAGGGAAATCCACTCAAAAAAATTTTATTGTGCCACACTCAAATGCTAATGGAAACTCACTCAACAGAATTACTACTATTCAAATTAGAATTTACAAATTGTCATTTTCAGATAGTAGTCATCAAAAATATGAACACAACTCCATTATTACAATTCAAGTTCTCTTTATTAAACAATCAGTATCAACACTTTAAATATCTTCTGTCATTTCTACATTTAACAAACACAAAATAAGGCACATCTTGCATAAATCTGAATAGACTAATTGACTGCTTGATCAGATAATTAACCAGAAACAATTTTGATAATCAATTTGTTTTCATTCTTTTTTGCA